ATGGTACACTTTTAAAAGAAAGGACACTTGGCTCAGAGGGCACTCCGAGAACTAACACCCTTTGAAAAGTATTGCAAGGGGCACATATTAAAAAAGAAGCTTATCTCTGTCATGTACACTCTCCTTCTCCCCATACAGCCCAAACACTCTCAGGCCTTCACTTCTGCATGGGAATCGGAGCTCAATATCACCATACCACCTGATAGGTGGCGCAAAATCTTTAGAAATATTCACAAAACATCTAGAAACACAGAGACCCAAGAGAGTAACTATAAAAGAATAGTTAGATGGTATTTGTGATGTATGGACTGTTGGGCTGTGTATGGGTGTGTGAGTGTATGAGTGTATGTATTGTGATGTATGGGCAGTTGGGCAGTTGGGATGTTGTTGGCTGTGAATGATGCACTTCCTTTCTTTTGGTTCTTTACTTCCTGTTCCTATTGGCAGTTGGTGGAATGTTCGAGGGATTTGAAACCCTGTGTAACAAGGCAGCAATATGAAGATGCTGTTATATATGTATTAATAAAGTATTAATAAAGTGAGTACTGTTATACAGGAATTATTGGCTGATTTGTACAAAACATCACAGTATTATACACCAGCGAGACTAAGAGCCATATTCCCCCAAATAATTTTGATCAACGTTGGAGATGCCATCACCCCTCAGGCACAGCATCACACATCTGGTGGTCCTGCCCAGAAATACAAACCTCATGGAGGCGCATTTCTAGCCTCATACAGATGATACTGGGGGAAAAACTGACCCCAACCCCAGATTCTTTCATCTTCCTTCTCCCACCACCAAACTTTCCCAAAGAAAAAGCTCAACTACTCCTACATTTGATAACAGCGGTAAACCAATTGATCCCCATATACTGGAAAAAATCAAACCCGCCACCCATTAGAGATTGGATCCAAAGAGTGGAAACCACTAGGAATATGGAGGAAATTTGCTACTCCCTCTCAGACAGATACCACTCTTACACATCTATTTGGTCCTGGTGGTGCACGTACCTTCAGCATTCCCCATGAAGGGGGATCCCACACGCATCCTTGGGCAAGAGGCAATAGCATGGGCAAGCTAACCGAAGGGGAAAACTTCCAACGTACACTCCATACCATTCTACCAGGGTTATCTTTGTTCTTTGTTTTTGTATTTACTTAAACACATCTTGTTTCACAAACCATACAGACAATTGTTATCAACAAATTCTTGCTTTCTATGTATTTGACGCATACAGATAATTGTTACTTCTCAATAGTCTATGTATACAAAACATTTATATCTGTACCATGACTTTATGCAAAAAAAAATAAAAAAAATTCTTGATACATTATTGCAATTACCGAAGTTTGGAATTTCTGAGGCTGTAATTAATCATATATATATTTTTTTAAATCCTTATTCTATGGTGGCATGTTTTTATGATCTTCACAAAATTCCTAAATCAATATTCATCAGGAATTCCTAAAAATATATATAGACAGCTCATTTCCAAGGTTCAGAGTAATTAACGCAGTATCACAACATTTTTCTACTATTCCACTGCTCATATAATATCCTCACGTGGGGTCACAACACAAAACTGGCAGCACAAAATGTTGATGTGATCTCAGCATTGTATAATGGTATAGAAATTTAAGACGAGGAAAAATATAATTGACAACAAGGTATGTTTTGTTATTGTTTGTTGTTACCATGCCACAGAATATCAAGTGCGTTTGCTTAGTTTTTTACGTATGTGGCAGTGCCCCCTTGTGTACATATTTCAGATAACCATAACAAAACTTATTATTATTATTAGCATTTATATAGCACCAGCTTATTCCTCATTGCTTTTTACTTAAACAGTGGGAAAACATAACAGCAAGTAAATGACAGATCTTCTAGCTTGGTACTGTGCCCCCTCACCTGCTCAATAGTGCATTGTGACCTGTACTTGTATCCCTCAATGAGTCAGAGCACTGGAAACAGTGATTTGAGTCATTGGCCGTGAGGAAGCTTTCACAGTGATGTACATCTGAAGGCTTCCGCACCGGACCACTAAAGATCCAGCCCAGCGTGCCCTCCACTAGTGTAATAGCGGCCTCTTGTACCCAGGAATCAAATTCAGTCTCCCAGTCTCCCGCACTGTCGCACAAATTTTAATATCTCCCAGAAAAACAAAATTTGTTATTGTGACAAACGCTCTTTCCCACATACGTTTGCCACAGACTCCTGGAGGAGTGTAGAAGCCGGCCTTCTGCCCACCGACTATGCTGCAGGTCTGGGACACCATTTTAGAGTTACCCTTCCCAGCCGCATTTAGTAGTTTTCCCTGGGTGTTCCTAGTTCGGCACTTTCCCTTCATGCGAATGAAACCGAACGCTGGTGGCCGTTCGCATGAACCAAACTCACGAATAGTCCCAGCGGTACTTAGCTGCGACCACAATGGGACTAAATTCGGCACATGGACTTCGTGGGTTCCCAGTCACCTCAGTGGGACTTAGCCACGAATGTTATGGAACTGTTTTTGGTATGAGGTGACCATGCGGTTCCCAGACAACTTGGTTCACGGTTTTGAACCACTTTCAAATCTTTAAAATCCACCAGGAGAGCGCTTTTTGGAGGGAAAGTATCTGAGACTAAGGGGAACAAACGCTACCTAGGAGCCAGACTGAGCACCCGTATTGTGGTCGCAGGAGCTTCCAAATGTTGACCGGCAAAAGCACCAAACTCCTACAGGGAGCTCCGCTACAATTATATATTATATTTTTGCGTGCATGGGTCATGCAAGAGTCATAGTAAAGACTTGAAAATGAGAAAATGCTTCTAGCATCCTTCCCCCACCACACACTCATGCTAGAAGCATTGTCTGATTTTCATTCCAAAAATACCGAAAATCTTAGTTGTGTGGTTTGCATTACAAAACTAATTTGCACGGCCCATGCACTCAAAAATATAACATAACAAATTTTGGCATTCCGGGAGATATTAAAGTATGTGTGGGAGACAGGGAGAGTAAATTCGAATCCTGGAGATTCTTGGCCATTCCAGGTAACAGCTGATACTGAGGTGACTAGTCCACCTCAATGTTTTAATAACGAGGGTTTGAAGATCCTAAATAAATCTCCTGGAATAATATACTTAAACGTTGTCAAGCCTATGAGGCCCCTACGCTCATGAGACCCCGGACAACTGCCCAACATGCCCATGCATTAAGACAGTTCTGTCTGGGAGAATGATATATGGTGTCAATCACAAACAATGAATATTTTGGTTTAAAGGTATGCCTTATATGTATGATATTCGTTTTAGAGTGGTTTTTGGCTATTGCACTTTTCAAAGCTGCTGCTAATAAGATTTTTTTGAGTTTTCCTGTTTATTTGAAAGTTATATAAAAAATTATTTTAGTTTCATTTTATTGGTATATTATTATTTTACATCCACTAACTATCAATGGTTGTGATGTACTTGGGGATGCTATGTGTTTCATCCAGGACTGTGGCCATAACACTCATCAAGTCCCGATCTCCTTCCTTCTGGCTGGTGTACAGTCTCTGGGTGCTGTATTTCAGGTGAAATCATCCATTCGTGGTGAGTAGTTTCTGGGTCTTGATTTCCATGGTGTCCAGCATCTCTATTATTATCCCTGCTAGGTATCTGATGACTGGTAGGGCATATGTGCCACTGAGCTGGGACTTCAGGACCTGACTGACTCTCTGGAGGTACTTGGATTTTTACTGTCATCATTGCCTCTTCCTTTTGGTTGACATTGGTTATGGTATCCCCAAGTAGCTGTTCTCTATGTCTCCTATTTAGCCTTCTGGCATTTAAACTCCTTATCAGTCCTGATCAGATTATTTTTGCTTTCATCTGCCCACACTTATCTACTCCAAACAACATTCACAACATTCTGATGTCCTTGCTGTACATCCCAATCAGTGAGTCGATGTCCCATTTACTCTAGGCATATAGCTTGAGAGGTCATGCCTGATGGTAGCTCTATTCTTAAATATATATATATAATCAAAGGAATAGCTTGCACTCACGGTCTTGTAGTAGTTAAAAGGCTAAATGTTTATTCAAAAATCTGTTAAAATAATCATATCAACGTTTCAGTCCCCGTCCGGGACTTTCTTCAGGATAAAGGATACTTACAAAATAGACAATAGTCATATTTATACCCAAAATAATAAAAATAATGAACTTACTCCAAGTGAAGTGATTACCGCTACCAGCGTCCCGCTGAACAAAGTGCGCATGTGCAAAACATTGCTCCGCCTCCACGTGCCGTGATGATGTCGGTTGCGTTGCCCCAGGGACGAATACAAGCGTCAGTCGCTAGGGCAACAACACAAACAAATCAACGTGGGAAAAGTGCACAGAAAAAACATTAAAGCTACGTTTTGATTCTTTATGTTCAAAGAGAATCAGAATGAAGACCAACAATTACGTTATTATCAGCATGCAGCATGGTGTATAAAGTGGAGAGAGGTGGGAAGGACATTAGAGGAATACTGATGTTTAACTCAAAGTGAAAATGTATGATTTAAAGTGCCAGAGTTAAGACAATTCCATTAGGTGAGCTAATGTATAAAGTGAACATAGTGTAATCTGGACATAGTTAAAGAGATAGTAGTTACTGTGATAACCAAGCTGTGTTATGTACCGTGAATATGTAATAACCACACTGTATATCCTCATGACGTATCAGTCAATTAGATGGACCAGATACTACTAAACATAAATTAATATTCAATACACTGTACAAGAACTTATTAAAAACAAATGCAATATGGGGCTTAAAGTAAAGAATGATATTAAATAGTTTCATTTAACCCTCGTGGAGCAATGGTGTCCAATTTGAAAATCCAAAATGTCTCTCTGTTAAGCAACTATTTGCCATGGTTCCCTCCTCACTTAGGTAATGGGACATGGCCAATGCCTAAGAACTTGAGAGCTGATGTTTTTGGTCCAAAAAATGCTTTTCTACTGGCTGATCTGACTTTCCATCCCTATGGGCTACCTGTATGCTGGACCGATGACCCGTGATATGTTCACATTGGGATATTTCCGAATGACATCCAATATCAGTACGGATACTGTACAGTACCTTGACCTTGAGATCTCAGTGAAGGATTACAAGATTGCATACAGCCTGTTCAGTAAACCAACGGACCGTAACATCATTTTACACTACGACAGTGCACACCCTATGGCATTGAAGAAATCACTAAGTCGCAATACATGAGTGTTATTCGCAACAATTCAGATAAAACTGTTATGGAACAGCAGTTGAACAAAATGACTGAGAAATTCCTTGCATGGGGATATAGTTACAAAAACCTATTGAAAGCGCTTGACGAGGCCAAAGCTGCCCGCGCCAATAAGGAAGTAAATAAAGCCCCTAGGATGGTCTTTCCTTTGATGTATAACCAATGATACCGACTATTTCAGAAATATTCACACAGAACTGGAAAATGCTTTCCTGCGACAACACCTTGCCTAAGGTGTCCAAAGAACCCCCCTTATCTGCTACAGTAGGAATAAGAACCTGCTGGATCTTCTAGTTCACACAGATCCGAACACACACAGCTACGAAAAAAATACAGTACAACAGAATCGTGGCAGTGTCGGGTGCCTTGGTTGTGTGACATGTGGGCATATGACGCCCGTACTCACATTGAATCATCCACATAACAATCAAAGTTATACAATACGTCATACTATTACATACAAAACGCCATTTGTGATTTACAAACTCACTTGTCCGTGTGGACTGGCCTATATAGGCAAAACACAAACACCCCTCTCAGGGGTCATCAGTCCAGCATATGGGTAGCCTTTAGGGATGTAAAGTCGGAGAGACATTTTGGATTTTCAAATTGGACACCATTGCTCCACGAGGGTTAAATGAGACTATTCTTGTCATGACGTTCGGCGTTCTACCGTAATTCCTGACTTCATTGACATTCTGCTCTAGCGTCCGATGTCATCATGTGAAGATAAATCTTCGATCTTATATGCCGTCTAGCATGCCATCTTAAATTCTGGCAAGTTAGTCTTTTTCATTTAATATAATACACCACAGTCCTTACATAAGTACATTATTAATACAAAACATAAATAAAATACCTGTAATACAAAACATAATTAGTATACATCTCTATACCTATTTATATAAAGGTTGTGTCCCAGATAATAAATATGTATCAGAAGGAAAAAAAGGAGGGTGGATCTACTAAAGTAGTAAAAAATATATATATGAACTCCTAAATAAATATATGTCTAATTAAAACATATCTCCATTAAAATCTAATAGACTAAAATCCTATATATATATATATTAATACCATAAATTACATAAAAGGGATCATTTCAAAGTCTACGTTTGGTCCTTTTGGGGTTATAGTATCCAGATTAAAAATCCACTCCAAGCTATTGAGACCAGAGAAGGGGAGAGAGGGAAAAAGATCGATGACACCGACTCCCGGGTCACCGCCCTCACGAACCAAGTGCAACACCTTACACGCACGGTGACCTCCCTAGAAACACGCCACCGACGGAAAAATCTCAGTATCCGCGGGGCCCCAGAGTCGATAGGCCAGGAAGTCCTACTTAAGTTTGCCAATGAGGTCCTGCAAGCACTGGGAATTCAGACAGAAGACGAACGGCCACCACTTGTGTCAGCCTTCAGGGTCAGGAAGGCCCCCACAGCGCCCGCGGACGCACCCCACGATATCATAGTAGTCTCAAGAGACATATCAGTGAAAACCGCTGTTATGGCACGATCTAGATGAAAAACAAACCTGGTGATCGCAAACAATAGGATTTCGATATATGATGAGTTACCCTTTACAATCCTCCTTGAACGGCGCAAGTTCATGCCCCTCACCAGGACTCTGCGAGATCAGGGCATTAACTACCGCTGGGGGCTGTCCGGAACACTGGTGGTACAGCAGGGAGATGCGATACACACCCTGTCGGCCGCTGAAGACCACACAGAGTTCCTAAAAAGACTCAATATACCAACATCGACCCCCGCGGAGTAGCTCACAACAGGAGACCAGAAAGCAGTGACCCCTAATGCCAAGCAGAAATGAGGAAACAGACCCACAGGAGACACGCACCCACTGGGGCGAGAAGACCCCCACATAAAGAGACTCTCGTGTCCACACAGCCTACGTTATCACCGAGGTTCCAGCGTTTTGCAAGGCCTCAGTAGGTCGTGATGGACTAACAGCAGGACGTATAGAGATCTAACAGGGACAACACAACTCTTCAGTTAACTTAATACCTTTTAATTTCTCTTTCTTTTAGCTCTGTGAAACCTTATACTACAAGAGCCTCTAACATGCTCTACCGATGAGCCGATATTAACCCCAGAGTCTATTTTAACCAGAGTTTATGGTAAAAAAAAATTATTTATTTTTTCTCCTCTTCACAGCAGCCACTGACCCAGAGTTTATCTCATTTCTCTCACACCAGCCACTGACAGACATAGTCACCAGGTCTACATTAACCACACGCACCTACTCGGTCCTAAAAGCAGCACTACTCACGTAGGCGTTTAATCTTAAAATGTCTTAGAGATCCCTCAAACTGTTTATTTTACTCCTCGTAACTAAACTAAAGTTATTAAACATATATTGTTCTTGAATTGTCTGAAACTACCTAAACCAAGTTGTTTAATCAGAATGTCAAACCTTTGCATAAATCATCAGCAACTAGTTATTCTGCATATTTTATATAAGAAAAGCCAGAATAATGAATGCATGTCTGATAGTCCTGTTGCTGCTTCACTATACCTCAAGTCTGTTATATTCTTTTGGAAAATCACGCTGCAGCATAATAATAATATTAGAGACGCAGAGCAGTGATAAGGGTCCTTCAATGTTACTTTAACCGTGCCATGATATGTCTGTTTTATCCTAACCCTGATCCCGCCTAGCAAATAATATGACTCAAAGAAATCTTTGCGTATATACACACTTGCATCCACTCAGAACGTAGGTTTAGACCGAAATATTTTGTTTTGATTTAGGCTTGTTGCCCACCGACGCTACCTATTTCTTAACTGTACTAACCTATAAACAAAATGCAAAGACAGAATCTAGAACTAGCCTGTATTGCTCACTGGAATGTTCATATATACATGATCTATGATGTCAGCAACTAGCCAATATGCCGAACAAGCCTAGTTAAAGCTTGAACACTCTCTAAAGTTGCTTACTTAAGCTGATTGTATTGCCTAACATTGTTTTAAAAATATGTGCAGTTAAACGACAACCTGTATACTAAAAAATTGTGCACTGTTATTGCATACCCCATTGTGATAATGTAATGGAACTAGCGTGTGGAGTGCCGTTGGGGCACCACATGCATGTCTGTTCAACCCATATGCACCGCAAAAATAAAGAATTAAAAAAAAAAAATCCACTCCATCTCCTTTCTATCTAGTTTAAAATTAATATCGCCCACCCTCCCCACCCCAATGTGTAGACACTTTTTCAGTAGCACAAAATTTGAGATATCTACTATTATCATTGTGGTGTTGAGCGAAATGCTTAGAAATATTGTGGTTAAGGAATTTCTTATTGATGTTGTTAATGTGTTCTCTAATTCTCACTTTTAACATGCGAGATGTTTCCCCCACGTATTGATACCCACATGGGCAAGTTAGTCGATAAATCACGTATTTCGTACTACATTTGATCAAAGATTTGATTTTATACTCTTTGCTAGTTTGAAAGGATTTAAAGCTGTGAGTTTTCTTTTCATAGTTTTGCACCCCTTACAATGCCCACAATAATGAAATCCCTCAGAATTCATAAAACTTTTTTAATTATACTTTTTGTCTAAAAAAACTAGATGTTAAAAGGTGTTTAAAATTTCTAGCCCCTCTAAAAATCAATCATGGTTTTGATCCTACAAATTCTATTATATCATGGTCCTTTTAAAACATTGAACATCCCTTACTGCTATAAAAAAAAATAACAGCAAGAGAGTGCACCAATCAGTCATTGGGGTATAGACTAGAGATTTATGGGTCACACCTGCCCACCATTGTCAGGGTAACTTCAACATGATAACAGGCCATGTGTTCAGGGGAAAATCATATATTAAATACAATAAGCAATAAAAAAAAAAAGAATGCACAAAGAATTGTGAAGAAACATGTATATTCTGGACTGGAATATGACATTAAATACTGCACACCTTGGGTCACACAGGTTGTAGGTTGGAGCGTGATGACGTAAGGTGCTCGCGGGCATCTGTGGTCGAACCCAGCTTTCGATGGCGGCTATCCTGTTTCAACTCTGAGCAACTTTGAGCAAGATACGAATTTCCCCTCCCTACCCCTGTCTCTGACAAAATCTGTTCTTCCCAACCCACATACCTCCTTTCCTCCAGAACTCCAAATACCTAAGAACCCACAAATACCTATCGCAGCTCTGCTGATTGTCTCCAAATGGGTACTTCAGTGCGAGGCACGACGGAGTACACAGTCAGAAGCGATTCCCAAGAGGAAGTAAGTCTTGGTGGATGACGCGAGGAAACACGTTTTTACCACGAGGAAGGGAAGCACTGTGGTAGACGTGAGGATAAGCAAGTGTCACAAATTAGAGATTTACCTTATGCCGCGAACGCAGTAAATGCCGATAGAAACACGGCCTGAGGAAAGCAGGCAAGTGTGAATGGTGGCGCTGATGAAACTGCCTCATAGAAAATTACACAAGAACTGTGAGTAGCTCCTTTGGAGCGTTAAGATTTTGGAAAGGGAGGAGGTAAGAAAAAGGATAAATGAAGAAGAGAGAGGGAAAAGGGGAGAAAAGTAAGGAGATTCTAAAATATGCTTTTTTTCTGTTTAAAATGGAATTTTTCTAAGTGCACGTATTTGCTTAAGTAATAGTCTGTCATAAAAAGAAAGGAGAAGATTAAGGGAAAGGGAAAGGAAAAGAGGGAAAGAGGGGGCGGTAGAAAGAGGGAAGAGACAAAGAAAAAGAGAAGGAGGAAAAAAGAGGAGAAAGAGAAGAAGGCAGAAAGGAGGAAAAGGGCAAGAAGGAAGGAAAAGAAAAGAAGTGGAAAGAAGAAACAAGGAAAAAAAATATAATAGAAGGAGAAATAAGAAAAAAGTGAAAAAGAAAAGGGGAAAAGAGAGGGAAAAAATACATATAATAAATAAATAAAAGAAGAAAAACTAAATAAAAAGAGGGAAAAATTACAAATGGCTCAAAAAAAAAAATCCTT